TGCCTAGTACTATGTGCGTTAGACAAATGGGTCTAAAATCGTAATAATTATTGATTAGTCTGTGTTTAAAGATGAGGTTACTTGGTTGTTCCTTCCTAATGCTAGAAGGTGATGGTTCTTCTGTGCAGTGTTTTGATGCATATAAACCGTGGGTTATCTGTTTAAAAAAAAAAAAAAAACCAAAACCAGTTGGGATTTATATATATTACAGTAAACAGAAGTGGAAAAATGTATCCCTGCAAGCATCCAGTTGTGCTCAAACCCTGTCAAGCTTTGACAGGATTACAAAAGTCTCCACCACTAGATACTTATTTTATCAATTGATTTTGTAAGAAGTGTTCCCTCTTACCAGTTTCAAATTTGCTAGTCTCCTCTTTACTGGTATGAACATAGGAAACTACAACCAAAACTGTAGATTTCCACAATTGTGGTGGTGGCGGTAGATTCTGTTTCAAGTGAACGTTGCATAGCAGTAAGAAGGCAGGAAGAACAGAAGTAGCGCTTTCAAAAGAAGCATATGTGTTTGAGGAGGTCCATAGACAATTTAAAAGAAAATATAACTATATGTTTCTTGTCTATCTTTTTATGAGCTCTGCTGTTAGAATTCATTAGAATAACAAATCTGTTCACTTCAGTACAAACTTCCAGAAGAAGAACCGAATTCCCTCATTTTAGAAAATAGGTTTTATATAATTTGTTTTGCATCATTTGCCTTTACTATCAAAGGGAAGTGTAAGTTTAGTTGCTGTTTTATTTTTTCCTTTCTAAGAAGGCTTAGGCAGAGAAAACATCATCCTGTAAGCCAGAGGGACAGGTGACTTGCTGCTTCATTTGCTGGCAGAGAGCTGGGAGTCCTGGACATTCTTCAGTCAGACAAAAGTTCAGAATTCATCCCTTTTGAGCTTTCATAGAATTAATTGGAGTAGAAGCTACAGATAAACAGGACTTAATTCACAAGCAAGAGAAGTAGATCAAGAATGTATTGATTTACCTCAAACTTTTTTTTTCCCATCAGAAATATTTTGAGGAAAGGGAGGGGGGGAAAAGCTTATTTTAGAATAAAATAATAGAAAAAAGCTATTTTTAGAATAAAATTTATTTACCTAATTTGTGAAAATCCATTTAGATCTGGAGAGTATGGAGGAATTAAATGGTCTCAGATAAATGCATAAGAGAGAGTACTGGGAAAGTTTGTTATTTTTGAGATAAAAGCAATTGTCATCCCCTTCTGTCCTTTTTCTCCACCTGGGAACTTCGACAAAAATTTCATATGAATAAAAATGTTTTTCAGTTAATTTAATCTGAATTGTGGGCAGCCCGAAACTTTTGATAGTAAATTCAACATTCTGAATGTGTCAGATTTGTGTACCCATGGTGCATAACTGTCATAGAGATTGGCAGAGGAAGAAACTGCAGTTTTGGCAGCTAGGTAAGGGGCTTTTTGTACCCAGCGAGGCATGGGAAGACCATTTGGATTTCAACACAGGCAGAAAACATTCTGACCACACGCTTACATGATCCACAATGAAACAACAAAATATTGACAAGTAGTTACTGTATTTCGATGCATGCAACCTAGGGGTTATCTGCTTAAAAACAAAACTGCAATTCAGCAACACTGTAGGGATCTGGATATGCACAGATAATACAAGGGGAAGTTTATTCTAGGACCTGTCTCCTTCAAAGCTTCGCAGTGTCTGATTTCACCATGGCCTGTATCCTTTCCCATAGTTCGCTCTCACCATCCCAGTAGTCCCTCAGCTTCAGATTTGTATATGTTGTCTGAGGTTCAGACTGTATAAGGTAAAAGATGGTATTATCTGTAGCTTTCACAGTTAATTGCTTACTGAAATGAATAAGGCTTTCCTAGGAAAGAAAATATGACACAGGTTCTTGTTTTGTGATTTGTTTGTTTTGTTTTTTTTTTTAGGTTTTGTGTGCCAGGATGTGATATAATTCTGTGAATTTAAAAATAAAACTTTCAGTATTTATCCTCTGCAATCTGAGGAGCATATATAGCGATATATTCTGCGGCATAATCTAGGGCTTCAGAAGTGTAAAAAAAAAAAGTGAGATTTAATCTGTAGTATGTAGGAGTTTTTAATGTTCGTATTGTCAGATTAGCAGCACATTTAAATGTGTAGCTACAGTCCATAGAGCTTGGAATTTCAGACATTGTTTCTATTATCCTTTGAATAGAAAGTCAAAGAATGGGTCTGGAAGCCAGCAGGAACATCTGAGCAAAAAATAAGTGTGTTTAACTCTCTTATTTTTCTTTCTTTCTTTGTGAGCGACGGCTAGGATGACTTCTGTGATATTCATAATTCCAAAGAAACACTGCTTCCTTGTTTAATGCTTCTTATTTCTGTGCAGTAGCAAAATACCGTCTTTTTCCACTCCTTCTGATATTTTCACAAGTGAAGTCCTTAAGTCTTTTAATTTCACTAGCTTGATGCCTTCCACTAAATAATGTTAAAACAAACCAGTTTGTGTGCTAGTGTTTTGTCGCTGAAATTGCCATCATTACTGCAGAAGTATGGTACCCTGAGTCACTGAGTCTTGGCTAACATACCTTCAGATATTTATTCAGCACTCCTGTATTGGTTCTTCCTTTTCCCCAAACTGTACAGAACAGCATGTGAAATATTTTTGGTACTGTTCACTAAATGAAGTGAGCACATCACAGGAGAAATTAGGGTAAGTATAACAAGAATTAAAAATTAGTAAGTAGCGGAATAGTGCACAAAACACTTAATTATCAAAGCCAGTAGACTGAATTTAACGTGGAGTATAAAACAGTGTGACAATGCCTGTAACTTGTTACAGTTTTGTCTTAGTGGAACAAGCAGTTAAAGCTTCCATTTTGAGGAGCAGGGAGATGAGGGAAAGGGTGGGCGTAGGATTAAATCATAGCTTAGTGATTTTCTTCAGTAAACTAATCAATCTCAGTAGCCTTTTTAAAACCCATTTTCTAGAGTATCTGTTGCCAGCATCATCTTTTGTTGAACTTACAGTAAGCGTGGCTGCTGGGGTATTTTACTAGCTGCTTAAAAAAATTAAAGATGACTGGAAGACCAGAAAGAATGAGTTCTGGTCTTCATAGGTAAGACAAGAATTTACAGTGTTGGTCTACAGATCTACGTGAACAGTGGCAAGAATGCCACCATATCTTCTGCTGTTCTAATCGGATAAATCTTAAGTGTTTCTCTCTGTGGGCTCATTTTAGAGAAATCAGTAAAGTGAGCTCCAGACTCAGTTTAACATTTAAATATGTTTTACACAACATGGCATTTTTCAAGTGGGAAGCCTGTAAGATATAACTAAAGGTCGATGTGAACAATTTACTGAAAGCTAATAAATTAACTTGTGCTCCCTAATTCCTGTTTGTGTGCATCTAATAGTAGTGCTTAGCAGGTAGCTTGCACCTTTTTCATTAAAGAATAAGCTTTCTTGCATTTACCACATAGTAAGAGCATGCATGAAGTAGTTACTGTTGAATATCTGATGTGTGCTAAATTGATGTCCTCTCTTACTTTGCAGTAACATGCATATCTCTTTGTATTACAAGGCCTTTCTCCTTCTAATGACCTTTTAATTAACCTCACTGTAGGCCGATCATCAGAAATGTTTGGGGTTTTTTTCAGAGGTTGGAAATGGTTGTTTATGAAAAAATAATTGACATGCTTTAACTATGCAAGCATAAAGCAAGCTGTATGTACTGGCCACTCCAAATACCTGCAAGTACATGTTGCAGTCATTGACAGACAAGAAAGACGTGATCGTGGCTGCCCCACCATGCATTCATTCCTTGATGCTGTAAGAGTTTATTTTGTGGTTCTATTGACTATATGACGATATTGACAACTTATCCAGATTCGTGTTGGACTTGAATTAATCATCACTCCTGGAGTGCTCAGACACACCCAGCTGCCTCTGCAGTGCACACTCTGTGCAGTCAAGTATTTCTGCATCTCCCGGTGCATACAGTATTATCCAAATCATCTCCCCATTAGTTTGGGTATTGGAGATTCAACGAGAGGTCTGTATTGTGCATATAAATACACCTCACAGTTCCTTGATCAACATGTTATTTCTGTTTTAATGATGAAGCACCTGAGGCATTCTGATCGGTGTTTTTAAAGATTATAAAACAGTTAAACAAATCACTGTGGTTTTCACTTTGTCATCTATATGGCCTGTGTATCTCTGGATTTATAGATGCATGATGGGCAAAGTATTGTTTCCAGAACAATGTGTGTTTTGCCTCTAAAAAAGGAGTAGTAGGTTTTGATGTTCTATGATAGTTAAGGAATTTCTGAGTAATCAAATCTTAGCTTTGATTTTTTGACAGGTTCAGAGAGACATTTTTAGTTCACATTTTTCTCCCTAGAAGTTAGGAGAGTGTCAAAAATTGTGCACAAGGTGAAAAGGGTATTAAAAATATTGAAAATGTTCATGGTGAAGGAACCTCCTGAACTTCGCACCTTAATATGGATGATACGGGAAGTGTCTGTCTGAACCTCAGACCTTAATATTGGTAATATGGAAAATGTCTGAACCTCAAGGCCTTGGACTGCCATTTTGGGAGGCAAGGAGTTAGTTGGGGTTGGAAAGACTGGAGTTTGTATTCTTTCTGCTCTGTTACCCATTGCTATCTTCATGCATCTGACACTCTGTTTATCTGACAGTGAACTCAGTACTGCTTCGCCAGGGAAAATTGCACAAAACAAGCCCAGTGCATCAGCGTTTTCATTGTGTATTAAGCTGAGCCTCCCTTCACATGGTCACATCCCCTTTTTAATCTGGGATTCCATGTCCCTTTCCCAGTCCAGCCTGTTTCTGTGGTGTCTATTGCTGGTCTCCCTGAGCTTCTGTTTCTGTGGTTTGAGTGTTTTTTGTGTGGCTGAGTGTTAAGACCTGCAGGACTTTTGGAAGTGGTGGTGTTTGGAGGTTAGGCAATACACTGATTTAGTGTTAGTAGTTTGCCACAAACTGAGGTGATGGCTGCGTTCAAGTTGGATTTCCTGCCAGAGATGATGGTGGACCATTGCTCCTTGAATGCCAGCCCTGTGTAAGTATTTTGTCTTCATGTCTAAATTTATAACTAAAGTGATAGGTGGAGTTGCTGTCTCTGAAGCCTCTGCTGTCTGATGAACTCATTTGAGGGGAGAAAAAAGATATAGGAGAGCCTGTAGTTTGTTTTCTTGAAGAAATCCTAGTGGGCATTGAAAATTGATGTTGGATTCTGGATAGGGGGAGGAGGAGGGGAAAGATCTGTTAATTTTAGGGATGAGGGCTAAGGAGGAATAAATCAGTACTGTATATAGTATGCTACAGGTGCTGGTGATATAAGCCCAGTTATTTAAGTCAGTTGTTGGGAGAACAGTTTCTGTTCTTCCCTATTAATGACTCCAGACTAAATCTTTTAATTAGGAATGAAAGATTCCTTGAATACTGTTGAGGTCATGTGAAGAGTTTGCCAGTTAACAGGAGCCATACTAAGCTCTTGAAGCTACCCAAGGCATAATAGGCAGGGCTGAAAATTATTACTGGAAGAGAGTAAATTATTTCCAGTTGTTCTCAATTTGAATGAAAAGACATTGAATGAAAAGAGTTAGTTTACCCCTTTGTAAAGGGTATGGTTTGCTTTGGCTCTTTGGAGAGATGCTGACCCTTTCTGAGTGGAAAGGTGGAGAGGAGTGAAAAGATTTATGATGATTCCTTTCCCTTCCACTAAGAAGCTTTGTTGTTTCTGAGGTCTGTTCATACAGCTATAAAATTATGAGCTTTTTCCTTAGGCTCTGAACAGCAGTGTGTTGAGGGGAAAAATTAACTAAATATTACCCGATTTGGAATTTTTTTTTTTTAATTCTATTCAAGGGGGAATATGATTGCAGATGGACAGTGAGAGGAGCACTGTTTACTGTAATGTGCAGTTAATAAGCTATTAAAAAATAATCTTTAAAAGAAAAAAGCAAGAGATGAAAGGAACTTACTACTCTGGAAGAAGGCCACCTGTATACTTCAACGAAGAGTTTGGGGATGAGGGTAATCATTATATAGTTACTGTTCCACTCCCCATGTCCTTTCTAGATTATGCAGGGGTTGGTCAGCAATTTTAACCTACTAATCAGTATAGCTACAATAGGATGTCGTTACAGTCAGTCTTTTATAGAGATAGGTCTTGTGGTATACCAGGCTGTGACTACCGATAACAAGACCTTGCATTGCACTTGACAAACATTGAGGAGTCAGTACAGAAAACAGTGTATGACTGTGAGCTAGCTGGGTGGAATATAACACACGTTTATTACTAGGCTGTAAACTGTTCATAGGGCTAGATGTAATGCCTTGAAGTCTATTGAAGATTCCCGTACTCAAAACTTCTGTGTTATTGTAGTCTAAGTGACTTTTTTTTCTATGTTAATACCCTACCATTACTCAACTTGATTTAGTCTGTGACTAGATTGTTCAGTCCCAACAACCAATCATGTACAACCTGAGCCTATTTTTTTGCCAAATATTGTTAAAAGCTCCCTAGTTTGATAAAGAGCTATTGCCTTGTAAACCTTTAATGAAACTTCTCATCTGTTCAGTTGTACCTGTTTCTGTGTTTTAAGATGGATCTTCACCCTGGGAAACAGTTCCAGATGGTCACATTTGAAACCAATGAAAAAAATGTTCTCCTCTCATTTTCAGTGATTACTGATAATTTCAGTAGTCTGTGGGTAGACTGAGTTTAGGTTCCTTCCTGTTCTGGTTTCTTTTTCTGTAAAATTTTACGTGGTTGAACTGGTGATATCTTTTTCAGTCATCTCAGCAGATTTATGTCCAGAATCCCAGATGTTGACTACGTTATAGGAACAAACATTAAGTGAAGTTTTAAACAGCTGTGTAGAGTGTTTGGTTTCCAAGTACACAGCTTGCCAATGAATGTGAATGGTATTTCTGAATATTCTCTGGTATGTGGAACTGGGAATGTGCAAGAGTTTCTCTTGATAAGTATATTTTAATCATATACATTTATCTGTGTGTAGAAGTATATAATTTTTTTTAATCTCGATGTAAGCATGCTTCTTCTAGCTGCAATTGCATCTAGAATATGTGGAAAGATACAAACCAGAAATTCCTTCTCGTTTTTCGTAGCTCAAAGAAAATGAATGGCACACTGGATCACCCAGACCAACCTGATCTAGATGCTATCAAGATGTTTGTGGGTCAGGTCCCACGGAGCTGGTGTGAGAAGGATCTAAGAGAACTTTTTGAACAGTATGGTGCTGTCTATGAAATCAATGTCTTGAGGGACAGGAGCCAAAACCCTCCTCAAAGCAAAGGTGAGAACTTCTGTACTTCTCATGTGAGACTTGGGGGTCTCAGCTACTTTCATGTAGTTACAGTCTTAACTGCTTGCTTATTCAAACATCCCTGTGTGTTGGAGCTCTGTGTGACCAGGTGTGCATGCAAGCCCAGTGTCTTTAAGTGTCTGTGTCTGATTATACCTGGACTGTGATCCATTCATTAGCTGAGCTGAGGAAAACAATAATCTCTTTTTTTTTTTTTTTTTTTTTTTTTTTTTTTTTTTTAGAGCTCAGAAGCGATGAGGGTGCTTAAAGAGTATGGATTATAATTGCAAAGCAGAACATCAAATTAATATTGTGTTGCTCCAGAGCATCACTGTGATGCTATGATATGATCACAATGTTGATGGAAGTGCCACAGTTTTGGATAAAATATAAGACTGAGTCTTAGTCCTTTCTGTACATCAGACCCTAACTAAATGCTGTACCTGGATTTGCAGTTCGGTTATAGGCAGTGTCTTATTTCTTGTGAAACGAGATAAGTTTTTGGTACTAGCAAATAATTGTTGACTTCGATAATGGAAGTAGCCAACAATTACTTGGCAGATGTATCTAAATGTTTGTCTTAATGGTGTATTGGTGATGTTGGGTCAGTTCTGAATATATCCTATTTTATTACACTTAGAAATCTTTTAAACAGTCACAATCAGTAGTACCTACCTATTTCAGTGTCTGACCTCTTCTACTTCTCATACGTTTTGCATTGGAAGGCTAGAAGTGGGACTTGCAATTCACGTACAGCACATCAAGGTTCATACTGCTCTTTCTTGGCTAGCATTTTGTTTCAATTACAGGGTGCTGTTTTGTTACATTTTATACCCGTAAAGCTGCACTAGAAGCACAGAATGCTCTTCACAACATGAAGATCCTCCCAGGGGTAAGAGAAGAGCTACGCTTTCTTCGCATGTTTTTCTGAGCTCTGGCACCACTGATGTACAAACATGTGTTACTTGCCCACAAGTATACAAATAATGTTTTAAAAGAACTATTCGAAAGAGCAATGTAATGAGATTTCTACGATAAGAGATCTTGAGGGAATTTTGAAGCATTTGGGAGAGTAGTATGGTAGTGAAGTAGGTAGGCATGGCTCCTATAATACTCTCTGAGGGGGAATGATGGCATATCATTAGGAAAGCTTTTCTTTCTTCTAGAAATGTAGGTACTATTACATACATGCTTCTGTAGAGGCAGTTTAGGCTACCATTTCTTTCTTCTGCGATTCCTATGGGATGTATTTCATACAGTATAAAGTGAATGCATCTAGGATTAAATATTTTTTGCATTTCAGATGCACCATCCTATCCAGATGAAACCAGCTGACAGTGAGAAAAGTAATGGTAAGCTTTACTAAACTCTGAGTTTGATAGCATTATTTGTGCTAATGGGGAAGCTTGAAGCTTTTCGTTTTGCTGAACAGCTTCTGATGAAGTCATCTTGAATTGGAAACCTGATTTTTTTTTAAAGGAAAAAAAAAAGAAAGAAAAAGATGTGTTTAGAATATAGTAGGTAGCGTAACTGATGTCTCTAAAATTTCATGACTGAGTATCTCCCGCTGCTGCTGCTGCTTTTGGTAGAACCATGTTGTCAGTTAGGGAAACATCCAGTGAGTTCTTCTTTGTACTAAGGTGGTTTAAATCTTTGTTGGGGACATGGACAGTGGGGTTGAGTGCACTCTCAGCAAGTTTACAGATGACACCAAGCTCAGTGCTGTGGTTGATACACTAGAGGGAAGGGAGGCCATCCAGAGGGACCTTGAAGGGCTAGAGAGGTGGGCCCATGCAAAGTTCAACAAGGCCAAGTGCAAGGTCCAGTGCCTGGGATACAGCCTGGGCAATGAGTAGATTGAGAGCAGCCCTGCAGAGACTTGAGGGTACTGGTGAATGAAAAACTGAACATGACCCAGCAATGTGTGCCAACTGTATCCTGGGCTGCATCAAAAGAAGGGCTAACAGATCAGGGGCAGTGATTCGCCCCCTCTGCTCTGCTCTGGTGAGACCCCACCTGGAGTACTTTGCCTAGCTCTGGGGCCCCCAGCACAAGAAAGACATGGACCTGCTTGAGTGGGTCCAAAATAGGGCCATGAAGATGATCAGAGGCAGGAGCGCCTCCCCTATGAGGACAGGCTGAGAGAGCTGGGATGTTAATCTTGGAGAAGGCTCCAGGGAGACCTTATAGCGGCCTTCCAGTACTTAAAGGGAGCCTACGGGAAAGGTGGGGAGGGACTTCACCTGGGAGTGTAGCGATAGGATGAGGGGTAACGGTTTCAAACTGAAAGAGGGTAGATTTAGGTTTGGTATTAAGAAGAAACTCTTCACTGTGTGGGTCGTGAGACACTGGCACAGGTTGCTCAGAGAAGCTATGGCTGCCCCCTGTCTGGCAGTGTTCAAGGCCAGGTTGGATGGGGCTTGGAGCAACCTGGTGTAGTGGGAGGTGTCCCTGGCCATCACGGGGCGGGCGGGGTTGGAACTAGATGATCCCTTCTATGATTCTATGAAATCTAGAAATGCTTTTTCAAGTGCTTGATCAATTTGAAGCAAGGCCTGTTGCAGCTAGGGTGGGAGTCAAAACTTCTTGTAGTACACAAGGGAGACTGAGAATTTACCACAGTTCAGTAGAGAAAAAACTGTGAATACTTCTGCACATTGGCCATATCGGATGGATTAAGATATTTAGCGTCTACCATTGGGTAAATGATCATTTATCCATATATTTCCATGATGGGTTTATATATGTTCATACATACATGCGTCTATATATATTGCTGCAAGATAAGCAAAAAAAGTGTTTAGCATCTTGTAGTTTCAGCCTTTCTAGGCTTGGCTGAATTTTATTTTTTTCATTTGCCATAGTTACTGTAAGATTAGTGTTGCATCATGGAGAAGATAATCCTGGTTCCAGAAAGCTTACATTTTAAGATGATTGGAAACAGAGGATGGGATATATGGGTAGGATATAGTAGGAGTAATTCCGTCTGCAAATTCCTCTATGCGTAAATATACCTAGAAAGGAGTAATTGTTTTGAAGTATTGTTGGGAGAACAGAATAGGTTCTCTGAACTAAAACTGATCTTGCGTTATACACACACACACATACATATCCTGGGGAAATAATGGAAAGAGGAAAAAAGTATTTAGTGGATTTTTTGGGTGGTGGTTCTGAGGCTGTTACATAATTATATGAGTTTTAGTAGGTGAAAATATGAATAAGAAAGCATCAGTTAAAGTATCTTAACGTGCCATGAGTAAAGGGGATTCTGGATCTCTTGAACTAAAATGGACTGCAAAAAGGATTTGAAAGCAGCTTTCTCCTCTAAGGGCTTGAAAGTGAACTGGGTGCGACATTTAGAGTTAATAGTCAGTTAAAGTCGTGTCAGCTGGAATAGTTTGGAATTTTCCTCTTCAACACCATAGAAGACTTGGGAAATAAGTTGATTTCCCCTCACTATGGCACTAAATAGGAGAAGACTTTCTCTCTTGAATTTTCTAATTGTGCTGCAGCCTTCATCATATTATATTTTATATTGTGCTGAGTGATGTTGCAAGCGGTTTTATATTTCCAAATGGTATTCTGCGTAATTTGCTTCATCCTTTAAAAGCAAGTATTTTGAAGTTGATTAGCATCCCTAAATAAGTAAAATGAGCAGTATAAAGTTCTGCTCTAAATTTGGATTTACCCACCTCCCTTAAGTGACCTTAAACTGACTTAAGTAATCACTAACTGAAAAGTTAAGAATGTCTTTCTGGACCATTTATTTTAAAATGGGCAGCACACTGAGAGGTATTCAACACTAATGTATCTAGTAGCATCAGCATTTAGAGGCAAGATACAGTAGCACACAGTCCATCGTTCTAATTTGAGGTGGTGTTTTAATGCTTTTGGTACAGATTAGAAGGGTTGAATCTGAAACAGAACTGAAAGTGTTCTGTTTTAGCAAGTGCTGTTACTTCCACTGTTGAGACAGGAGCATGAGGAAATCAGCAGATCTAAATTTAAGCGATTGGCATGATAAAGAGGCTAGAAAGAAGCTTTCTGCAGCTCACTTGCTTGTTTAGATAGTTAGGTATGTTAGCAGTCTAAAGATAGAAGAGACAGAAGATGAAAATAGTCCAATAAAATACATAAAGTCTTCTCTTACTCATCAGGAACTGAATGCAGGAGATACAGGGAAGTGCTGAATCTGATAGCTTTTCCATTTCTTACGTTCTTGCAGTTCACAGGCTTGCAAGGGAGAAACAGTCAGCAAAATCTAAACATAAAACATCATAAAACAGGCATCCTTCAGTTCATTGAGGTATCTCATATGCCTCTTCTTAAACTGAAGAGATTTCATTATAAGGAATCTCATTTTGACAAGCCCTGACCCCAAATACAAGGGAAATAACTGCAGTTGATGGAGAAGACTTGACAAAATAAGATCTAGTAAGCACATGTTTGCTGGTAATGCTCTTATCTTTTGATTTCTTAGCAGTAGAAGATAGGAAGTTGTTCATTGGGATGATATCCAAGAAGTGCAATGAAAATGATATCCGAGTGATGTTCTCCCCCTTTGGGCAGATTGAAGAATGCAGGATATTACGGGGCCCAGATGGCCTGAGCCGAGGTAAGCAGGAAGTTTTTCCAGCAGTTCAGGGTTCTCCACTGAATGCTCCTTGATGCCTTTTGCAAGTCAAGGTGGCATTTTACCTCTTTCTGTGATTTTACCCCTCCACCCCATAGGCATTTTCATCTATTTATTCATCCCAGTAATTGCAGATGTAGTGAATGAATTGGTTCCTTTTTGTTCTTTTCCCAGGTTGTGCATTTGTGACTTTTACAACAAGAGCCATGGCACAAACAGCAATCAAAGCAATGCACCAAGCACAAACTATGGAGGTAAAACAAGTCAGTGGGTATGAGGAGATGATGTAATCTGTCAGGCAGTCACTTTAGAGTTTGGAGGAGAGAAGGATAAGTGCAAGCATGTCTTTCTTCACAGATACTACTGCTGGACCTTTGTGTCTGTTCTGCTCTTATTTTTAGAGCTCGAGATAGAAACTTCATCTACAAAGAAAATACCAAGATACAAAATAGAATTGAAAGCAAATGAGACGTTGAACCTTTAATGAAATGTGCTGTTTGAATATCTATATGTATGCATATGTGTGGGGGCAGGGGAGGGGAATGCTTCCTGACTGGGTCTCAATGCAGTATTTTTGCGACTGCTGGGGATAGCAAGTATGTAATTGTTTGCATTGCTGTTTGCAGGGTTGCTCTTCTCCCATTGTGGTAAAATTTGCAGACACGCAGAAGGACAAAGAGCAGAAACGAATTGCTCAGCAACTCCAGCAACAAATGCAACAGATCAGTGCTGCCTCAGTATGGGGAAACCTGGCTGGTCTCAACACACTTGGACCGCAGTACTTAGCAGTGAGTTTCTGATTTGGGTTCTTTTCATATCTTCAGGGATTACGGTGTCTGACTGGCTTGTAGTGTTTCATTTAACCATTTTCAGAAGGCTTCTGATAGATAGGAGCAGGGTTCGTAATCTCCATTTTGTGGGTGAGGAGGCTGAAATTGTTACGTGCAAACAGCTAGTCAGGATACATTTAAGTGAGGATTTCAGACTCAGTCGCTGTAGCCCTAACTACTGAAACTATTTTTTGCCTGTCTTCTTTAGAATGACTTTGTACTGGGAAGATTTTCTTCATATGTTATGGCATCAATGTTTACCCATATAAATGCCCTTTTCATGTCTATCTGACAACATAGTTTTTCTATTTCTCTTCCATTTTTCCTTTTTCAGCCTTTATTTTTCTCATTCCCTTCCAGTGAAACCTAGAACAGTACTTGGTGCTGTCCGAATAGCAAAGGTGATCAGTTTGGAAGTGCCAAGCAGCTGACAGGCGCTTTTTTTCTTACTGTTAATAAGTAAGAAAAAAAACACAAACAAAAAAACCCCACCACCCTCCACCAACCAACCCAAAGAAAATAGAGAGAAAATCATAGAATGGAATCACAGAATGGGATTAAGAAAGGGATCTTAAAGATCATCCAGTTCCAACCCCCCTGCCATGGGCAGGGACACCTCCTACCAGACCAGGTTGCTCCAAGCCCCATCCAGCCTGGCCTTGAGCACTGCCAGGGAGGGGGCAGCCACAGCTTCTCTGGAACCTGTTCCAGCATCTCATTGCCCTCACAGTAAAGAATTTCTTCCTAATATCTAATCTAAATCTTCCCTCTTTCAGTTTTAAACAGTTACCCCTCATTGTGTCACTACACTCCCTGATCAAGTGTCCCTCCCCGCCTTTCCTGTAGCCCCCTTTAAGCACTGGAAGGCCGCTATAAGGTCTCCCCGGAGCCTTCTCTTCTCCAGGCTGAACAAGCCCAGCTCTCTCAGCCTGTCTTCATAGGAGAGGTGCTCCAGCCTCATGATCACCTTTGTGGCCCTCCTTTGGACCCACTCAAGCAGGTCGATGTCTTTCTGGGGCAAAGAGCCATATGCAGCACTGCAGGTGGGGTCACACCAGAGCAGAGCAGAGGGAGAGAATCCCCTCCCTCGACCTGCTGGCCATGCTTCCTTTGGTGCAGCCCAGGGTGCTAGTAGTTTTCTGGGCTGCAAACACACACTGCTGGCTCATATTCTGCTTTCCATCCACCAGCACCCCCAAGTCCTTCTCCCTAGGACTGCTCTCGATCCACTCATTGCCCAGCCTGTATCTGTGCTTGGGATTGCCCCTACCCAGTTGCACGACCTTGCACTTGGCCTTGTTGAACTCCATGAGGTTGGCATGGGCCCACCTCTCCAGCCTGCCCAGGTCTCTCTGGATGGCCTCCCTTCCCTCAAGCGTGTCTACTGCACCACACAGCTTGGTGTCATCGGCAAACTTGCTGAGGGTGCACTCGATCCCACTGTCCGTGTCACTGACAAAGATGTTAAACAGCACTGGTCCCAGTACCGATCTCTGAGGAACACCACTCGTCACTGGTTTCCACTTGGACATTGTACAGTTTACCATGACTCTTTGGGTGTGACCGTCCAGCCACTTACTGATCCACCAAGTGGTCCATCCATCAAATCAATGTCTCTTCAGTTTAGAGACAAGGATGTCGTGTGGGACAGTGTCAAATTCTTTGCCCAAGTCCAGGTAGATGATGTCAGTTACTTTTCGCTTATCCACCATTGCTGTAACCCAATCATAGAAGGCCACCAAATTTGTCAGGCAGTATTTGCCCTTGGTGAAGCCATGTTTGCTGTCGCCAATCACCTCCTTATTTTCCATGTGCCCTAGTATAGTTTCCAGGAGGATCCACTCCATGATCCTGCCAGGCAAAATACTTTCTTTAGCAAAAATGACACAACAGAAGGTAGTCAGCTGTTTGTCAGTATGTTAGTTGATTTTGCTGGGTCCTTAAAGGGTAAACTTTTCATAAACTGGTGTGCTCTGGTTCATGTGGGTTGCCGGGGTAGCTATGAGAACTGTATTTATGCAATATAATGTCTGGGGAGTAGAAAAGGAAAATCTCATATCATCTCTTGGTGTATGTACTGTTGAAGTGGGGGTATTCTGTCTTTTACTGCTTTAGGTTTGGTAGATTGGAATTTTTTATAACACCTAGTTAATGGAGAAAGGACTAGGAAATAGCTCTAAATATCTTCTGAGCTGAGGCTTGAAATTTCTGTTGTGGCTGCTGTGCTTAATAAAAGTGGAGGGGTTACCTGTTGCGGTGGCTTTTTGGTATGGCATTTGCCATTCGTCCTACGCTGGCAGTGTCAGCTGTAAAGTCTGGCTTGAGGTAGTATATCCTTAGCAGTGGCAATCCTGCCTGAGGTGCTTTAAGTAGGAGTTCTCTCTCACTACTGATTCTGCTGTTTTTATCTTGATGTATTAGCTATAAACTTCCCTCAACATTGGTTATGTTGAGTGAGGAAAGCGTTGTGCTCTTGCTTTGGCTGTAGTGTGATGCATGGGCAAGGTGGATTTTCACTATGGTGGTGCTCTGGCTGTATGTGTAATGGGAGTTCTCTATGCTTTGCTACGGTGTGGTGCATGGGCAGTGGGCATTCCCTTTGTGACGGCGCTCTGGCTGTGGTGTGATGCATTTTTCTCCCAGAAGCAGAGCCAGCCCTCACTCTCACTCTTGTTTTGTTTTTTGGTGTAATGTCTAGCTTTATTTGCAGCTCCTTCAGCAGACAGCAGCTGCGTCATCTGGGAACCTGAACACATTGAGCAGCCTCCACCCAATGGGAGGTAAGTGTTCTTCCACGAGAATACAAATTCAGTGCTAAAGAAAAGAGAAGGAGGCTAGAGAAAGGAGCCAAAAGACTGTCGACACATTAACCTCATTTAAAATAAGTAGTCCTGAGTTTACCTACTCATTTAGAATGACAGAAATCCTCTGCTACAAGTGTGGATGTTCCTTCTTTATCTTAGTTAATCATTGTCCCCGCCAAGGTAAGTTGTGGAATGCTGATAATACCCCCTAACTCTGGCATTTAGTATTATCTTCCCTTATGGGTACAAAAAGATGGCTGTGTATATTTGTTTTTGTCCAAAGAGGTGCATATGTGAAGCATTGTGTTTTGAAGTAAGCGCTAATGCATGTGTTTCAGTAATAATGGATTCTTAGGTTTACCACTTTAAATTCTTTGTTCTTAAATACATCCAAGTTGAAAATGCAATGCTGGTAGGAGTTTGAACTAGTCCTTCATTCAGGTTCGTTAATTCCTTTGTTTGAATTACAGTTGATTATGCCATTGCTGTTAGGGAAATAGCAGCTCAACAGTATGAGCCGAATTTCTTGTTGTGGACTGCTGGTCAGAATATTCACTAAGTATAGTGGTACTGGGGCTGCAAGTTGATTGTCCCTTCTGTCTTCACAGGGTGTGGAGTAATAAAACACATGCTAATAACTCCATTCACCACATTCTCTAAATTCTCCTGCTGGCAGAAAAACTATAGTTTTTGTTTTAATAGATTTTGAAATTGCCTCCTGGAGTTGTATGGTAGTTCACAATATTACATGCCTTGTCTGTGCAGAGGTTGATCTAAAAGTGTTAAGAAAGTAAAGCGTCTTTGTACGTCTGACTTGTGTTGGTACACCCATCAGTAACAGTTACAGGCTTTTGCAAAGTGTTATGTTTTCGAATGTAAGAACTTTGATTTATACTAAAGGTTGATTTTAACCTTAGCTTCTTATACTTATTTTTTTTGTGTTGGACCTCTTTAGAGCTCTTACATCTAAGACTCTTGCCAAAAGCAGTTTTTTTTAAAATCAGTTTCACCGATACCCTGTGTGGTGGTGATCTAGAATAGATTTTGTTATGCGCATGATACTGTTTTTTCCCCCTCTTGTGTCTGTTTAAAAGTAAGTGGTAATAAAGGAGAAAAACGATACAGCAGTTCATGTTAATTGTTAACTACAGTAAGGACTGGGATGGGGAGAAGGGGCTACCTAGCTGAGGTTGCCTATGAAGTTTCCCTGGTAATTCTGTCTTCAGAATTTAAAAAGACACCTTAAAAATCGAGAGCTCAGACATATAAATACATGTTGCATGGTGTTTTGAAAGAATTATTCAAAGTCTGTTATTCTTCACAGAAAGAATTTTAAGTTTCAAGGTTCTGTTAAAATCTCAGCTGATCTCCTTTCTTGAAATTCATAGAAAGAAAAATTAAGTAGGTAATTAGATCCCAAACTATATCAGACTTCGTAGACAAAATTTAATCTTGACCCTGTTTGAAAGCAGATAGGAAAACAATGTGATGGCAAGAGGACAGGTGCAGCGTGCACATGCCAGGGTGCTTCAGAAAGGAAGCAAGCTGCTCTGTTCTTTACTAGCTCTAACACTTGTACTTTTAACTCTGTAGCACAATAAAACAAAAGAAATATAACTTTTTGGTTTTAACTTCATGCTTTTATGTTACAATGGCACCTTGAGAACCTAGTTAAAGGCTGAATCCTCTTGTTTCAGGCACTAAATGTGGTTAGGGAAACAGACCCTGTCACAAAGAGAAAACAACTGAAAAATATTTTAAAAACCCAAATGAACTGTGCTAAAGGTAGTAGTTTTTTAGAAAATAGTTTACACTGCATTGTCACTTACATTATATTGTCTGTTTACATACTTAAATGCCAAAACTGACACTCTAAGATGTGTGTTTTGTCACTACTTACTGTGCATCAAAAGATGAGGTACCACATCTGCCTAAGACAATTTGATGTTATATGAATGGTGATTAATTTAACTTTGGTTTTCATTTTGTAGAGAAAGATTACTAAGGATTGTCTAAAGTCAGATGAAAAGAGGAGGAATTGTTAGAATAAGCAAAGGTAGAGACAAAAAAAGGGAAAATAAGGGAAGAGAGGCAGAATTGGAAGAATGGAGCTAGCCTACCGAAGGATGGCTACAATACAGAATTCAGAAGATTGATATCAGTGGTAATACCATGGCAGGAAAAGAGGGCAAATTACAGGGTCAGTACTGACTGAATTTTTAACGCAAAAATTATGGCTCAAAATTAAGTCAGAGTAAATTGACCAGTAAAAGTTCATCTACACAGGGCTACCTTCCTCCCCCTGCAGTATTCCTGGCTGCTTACCCACAACATGCCTGATGTTTCATTTTCCTTACCCCTTTGTTTGACCAGCTGACTAGCCTATTCGTACGTGGGCTAATCTTGTGGTCAGGAGTTGCCCCTTACCGTTGTCTCACAATTGACTGTTGCTTCTTGGCTGCCAAGAGGACCAAACAAAATGTGCTGATACTCAGCTGATGGTGGGTTAAAGGTGTGACTCTGTGACCACTCTGGTGTGTAGGCCTTTGTGTAAGAATTCTGCGGTTATTGCTGTTCCCATACAAAGAGAGTGGAGGGATAGGAGAGGAGAGGAGGTTATTGGCCTGGTGTCTAAACAAGTTCTGTAGCTTGCAAATGAGCTGTCAGACCCTGGCTTAACTCCTCTGTTAAAGCTGCTATGCTTTTGTGACTGGAGAGGACACTGCTTGAAAATTTCTGTGCTCTGGAGTCTGCATCTGGGATCATGTCTACCTGGTGTTTTACAGAAACTCATCTATCTGGACAAAGAAAACCCTTTTTAGTTACAAAAAGAAATCTCAATGTAGAAAAGATCAGTAACTAGTATTAAGCCTGTTGTTTTTAAGCTCCTTCCCATTACTCCCCTGTGATGTACTGAGGTTGCTGGATGTGTTAAGCTTGGATGATGGTGATTATTACAGTACAAACTCTGTGCGTTCTTCAATGTGTTGCAGGACTGAATGCGATGCAATTACAGAACCTGGCTGCACTAGCAGCTGCGGCCAGTGCAGCTCAGAATACACCGAGTGGTACTGCTGCACTCACTTCCTCCAGCAGCCCCCTGAGTGTGCTCACCAGCTCAGGTAAGAGACTGCTCATGCTGTAGGATGTTACCACGTGGGTTGCCTTAGGAGTTGTTTCAGGATAGGTGTCACCTGTCTTGTCTATCCCTTTTTGTCACTTTCATGTTGATCCTTTAATAGATAAGAGGCTTTCCTAGTAGATTAATTGACCTTTGTTTAGGGTAGATATCTTTGCCACCAGCAAAGGCTTTTTTTACCTGCTGTGTTACTTCCTGCAAATGGTGAGATTAATTTAGAGTAAGAAGAATTTTTGAGGTTATTAAGAAGCAGAAAGGTAGGTGACCTCTTTCCAGTCACGTTATTACAATCTCATCACGTATTTGGTTTATCTGTGATTTTAGGCAGGTACTGCAGCAGACACACCCTGTTCCTCTGGACATGGAGACAGAAGATGCTTTAAGCATGAAGTAGTGCATTCTGTGCACTAAAACAGTACAGTTTATATTCCTCTGGCATTAATGAAGACAAGGATACTATAACTGTCTCCTAGAACTAGAATAAACAGACCCCTAGCATGTTTATTGGAAAACAGTTGTCTAGAACTGAGTGTATGATTTGCACATAAAAATCAGTATCTCGCTCTTCTGGTTTTTGGAGGTTTTGGGGGTTTTTTGTGGTTTGGTTTTGTTAGTTTGGTTTTGGGGTTTTGTTTGGGGTTTTGTTTTGTTTTCCTTTAGATTATGTAAATTATCCACAGAGGCTAGAATGTCCAAGTAGTGCTTTCTTTTGCTGCCTTATTGTTAAATGTAATCATTAAATGCAACAAACAAGAGAACAAAAAAGAAATTAAATGGTGCTTACATCAGACATGCTGCAGATGACAAATAAGGATCTGTGTCCTACTCTGTTATTTCTATCGTATTTTTAGTTATTTCTAAATCCTGACAGAGGAAAGGAGACCCTGTATTTTCAGGGTGTCAGTTTTCCAGCATCTACGTTATGGTATGTGGGTTTGGTTTTGTTTTTTCTTGTTTTTTCATAAAAAGCCAAACTGATTACCCAGGTTTGAAATAACTACCTACAGAGTTGACGTCCTCACTTGTGACTGAGAGACACCAAAGAGGGGGTGTGTTTTAAATTTCCACAGGTAGCTTTTGTGTTGCGTAGGAGGACTAAGGAGCTGGACTATGAGATTATAAAGCGATTACAAGGATAAGCTGTTTAGAAAACCTTCTGTCACATGATCAGGAGTTAAACCGTGGGTGCTTTGCAGTTTTCTAGTTAGAGAAATCCCCAAGAAAGAATTCCATTCAAAGGATGTTCTGTTGCTGGACAAGGTTTTTTAACATATAAACATTGTGGTCTGCAATCCTTAAAGATTAAAATGTCAAAATTTAGCTTGACTCCCAGCTATGGTATCCTGTTTTATAGTTAAAAACAGCAACAAAGAGTTGAGGCTATAGAATAGCTGCATTTATAACCCACTTATGCTACTTCGTCATAGAGAAAGGATGAAGGTGAATATATCTGAGAATTTCTACCATATTTCCTCATGTAGTAGCTGAGCTGGAATTGTCAGGTTACAAATATCATGATGATTACAGTAACGACAGTGGGTCATTTGAATTAATATCCTATACAGGTGTATCAATCAGTTCACTCTTCACAGACTTGTAACATGAAGCTGTCACTATTGTGTTGTTCTGTAAACTTAACTTCAAGTATGATTTTAAAGAGTAGAGATTAGCTTTGTTCAAAAGAAATAAAAAGTTCTGCAGGATATGTGGTCTACTTGTAGTCACTGACATCAAACTCTAAAAGTTTCAGCGCTTTTCATTGGAGGTATGAATATGCTTTACCTTTTAAAACTATGCTTTATTGGGGGGAGGGGAAGCATTCAGTCTCACGATACTTCCTGTAGTTACATAGCTTTTTAAATCTTTGCTCTGAACTAGCTATTATCTCTTATAAAAACAAACTTGAAATTCTTTTTTGATGAATATTTATCTGTGCATTCACACTGTATGTATTCACATAGAAGGCTGTCGGGCTCCACACATTCAGAGCATCCCTCCCGATCCATACCTAGATCTTGAAAAAACTCAGTCTATACGCTTCAGTACCATGTGTTAGTAAATGCCTTCCTTGTCTGTGGGACATATGGCAACATCTACAGTGATAACCTCTTAAACGTAACTGCAGATGACATGACCGCCAGCTTGACTTCTGTCCATCTGTCATCCAGATGTTCACCTGATGCTTATTTGGACATCTTTCTGAGATTGTCCTCAAATTGCATCATTCCTGGAAAATCCAGACAGTCATTATGTGTAGTTACCTTTTGGATTTTCATCTGCACTTGTATCTTTTGTGTTTGAGGGACTTGGAAGCCCACGCAGTGCGAAGTGTGTGTACTATGGATAGGTTACATGTCAGACTGGTTGAACTCAGAGGTATTAAGTATTGTTGTGGTGCTGGTTGTGCTGGCTTCCTACTCATTTCAGGTGACTTTGTTTAGATATTTCCAGGCAGTATTTTGATGTAGAATAGTATGGAGCAAAACGTTCAATCTTGCAATAAAGCAGCTACTCTTTGGAACTGAACAGACTGCTGCTGCATCTACCTATAGTTAATCCATGTTACAGAGATTGTGGCTTCAGATAAACTCATTTAAACTGCTAGCTTGTGAAAGGGCCATTCAGGAAAATATTATAGAAGTATTCCAGGATTGGAGTGTCTTGTCTGCCATCTTTTCGACTCAGACATCAATAAGAATTGTCTGTTACAGAGCAAGATAGAATGGTTGCAAAAGCTGATGTGTGTTTCCGTTTCTCCTCCTTTCAAAGGCAACCATCAAAGATCCAGCAAAATAATTTTCAGAGATGTCATAGTCTTTCTGCTTTTATTGGAACTAATTCTGATACAGTTCAGTCAGATTCATTGCCTTAATTTTAGTGCTCTTTGGCTCATTGCTTGGATGCTAGATGACTGAATTAGAACAGGCTTACTGTTCCCTCAGTTTACCTACCTCCACAAGTTGGTAGTTGATGTCCTTGCCCAAGTTTCATTTTTTTTCCTAGCTGTTCTTTACTACTATATTCAGATTTTCTGAAACCATTTCAAGGATTTTCAGCTAGTTCTCTTAGAGTTAGCCTTTTTGACTAGATATAACTTGGTAGATAGATCTAAGAAAACATAACCTCAGCAGCAAGGAAAAAAAAAAACAACTCACCAAAAAAGTGCACAGAAACCATGTTAAGAATTAGGGATGGAGTAAAGAACGTGTATAAAGCTGTATTGGTTTTCCATCCCCTTTACTGTGTGCCGTTTTCTGATCTAAAATAATATAAAAAAGCCAGAAGAACAGAAAGGATGACTGGAACTGTGGAATTTCTTCCCTGTGAGGAGCAACGAGGAGCGTGAAAAATAGAAGATTGGCATGGGGAGAGGATATGATTAAAGCCTACAAATATGTCAGTGATGAAGATGAATCAGGAAAGAACAGTCATTAGATATTTCAAGACAAGAATTACAGGATATCAGGTGAAGGTGTCAGCTAACAGTTCAAAAAAAAAAAGCTATTTCTTTGCATAGTGCATGATTAAATTGCAGAACTCGTGCCTTAGAACATAGTCAAACAATTTGATGTTCAAAATGCACTGGAATTCATGAATGAAATCATAACTGTAATATGAAGACATTGCCTTTGGCTGAAAAAAATCCTAGATTTGCAAATTGCTGCATTGGTATATAGACTATACCTAGGAATTATTCCTTTCTAATTGCCCTGTTTTTCTTCTCTACTGTTATTTATCTGCCTTTAGTCATCATCAGAAATGGGATGTTGACTCAGTACAGCAATTCCTATATAGATATAGATATGATAAAGAAAATATACAAAATAGTGTTAAATTTTCTTGGCATTTTCAGTACTAAAGCATTCCTTGTTTTGCTTAAAGAGATTTCTGATAAAGCCAGCTAAACTAAAATAACTGTATGGTCAGCTTTTTGTAGTGATTTAAATTAATTTATTTTAAATCACAACCTTTTTAAAGTAGGGAAGGCATCTATTCTCTCTTTTACTTTTCTCTCTAGCCTTGGCTTCATTCTTTTTTCTTCCCATGCCACTACTATTTTATTGAGTTGGGTTTTTTAAATGGTGTTCTCATCTGTCAAATGACAGATAATTATGCAGATAAGCAATGAAATGTTGCGGAAACAAGTGATATTCTAAAATTGAAGCAGCTGTATCATTCCTGCATACTGGCTTTTATTCAGCCAGCTATGCTATTTTTTTCTACTAACTTGAGGGTTGTACTGTAACTTGTTCTCTGTATTTTTCCGACATCTAATGTGCTACTAATAGTAGGATGGGAAGTGACTCCTTTTCTTCAGAGTGAGCATCTTAATATATAGTTTGGGACATTGTCTTTCAATTTCAACTTGTTAAGAGAGTTTGTACAGAACTTTTCCTAGAGGAGGTTTGTCATTTCCTCTGTCAGTACAAAAACTAAAGAGTGATCCAAAGTACAGCTCCCTGGGTTCTTGTGCAGCTTTTGTTAGGTACCACTACTTTTGTTAGGTACAGCTTTTGCTGGGGCTCATTAGGCAAGTTTGCTGTATTCCATTTAAATGGTTACTGTATTCCACTCCAGCAGAGACTTCGTGCTGCGTATATGAAGTAGTGAGTATGTAGTGTGTGTGAATCTGCTTGAAGGATGCAAGCAATTCCTTTAAAAGTTTTAATGGATGTACACTGCATAACTGAGACTTACAAAAACACAAAGGAAACTGAAAATGCCGAATTTCAGTTCTTCTGTTACCCACTTGGTCAGACAGATAAATTTCTCCTGAAAGCAGACTACAGGATGCCTCTACAGCACCAGTCTTCGGTATCTTCTGATTTGTAGAAGCCATAAATATTTTCCAGTGCGTCTCATGCAGTAAACTTAAACTTCTGGGTTAATAGCAATATGCATAGCTTTTCTTATTTACCTTCTTCAGATTTCTAAGCAGTCCACAAACCTGTTAGGAAGACCACTGCTATATAATCATAAAAATATATTCTTATTTTGTCATGTCCATAATCTTTGTAGATGACCTTTATTTGAACTTCTTTTGATATATCAACTTGGCAAATTTTTTTTTCTCATGGTTTTGATGTCTGTTTCTGTAGAACCTATTGTAGAATTTGGCAGGCCATGTAAGCTGTTAGTCTGCTAGGTACCGTATCGGTAGACTTCTCTTACTGAGTAGATGTGGTTGAAGATGTTAGTGGCACAGAGGATAGACTGTGTATTTTGGATGTACATACCAAAACCTTTCTTGGCACTAGCCCTGGCTGCTGCAGTGGGATTTTTAATGGAAAATTATTTTGTGCGTTAGGAGTAATCTAGGCATCTGCTGTTCCTGTTCGGCAGTATGGGAAAACTGTATGTTCAGTTTGTCTGGAGCTTTCTTCAACGTCCCTAGTATCTGTGTCGGGTCTTTTTCACCATGTGTGGTGTTTCAAGGATAGATGTTAATAAGTAGCAAGTGATTCTTACTTTAGTCATTGCTGCTGGTCACCTTATGTTGAGGTACAAAGTTTAGCTAGATGTTTGAATCTTAGATTTCTTACACTTAACGAAGTCATTATTGCTACAAAGAGCAGACACTATGATGAAGTACATATTTTTCAGAAATGTGGGAAGGGATTAGAAGATGTAAGCAGTATGATCAATCAAGTTGTGTCGGTTTGGGAATTTTTTTTTTTTTGACAAAAAATATGCTGTGTTGACTTGATCTGTTCCTTACTAGCTTTTTCTACAGAAATAACTTAAGGGAGACATTGAATTATCAGGACCAAAAAATATTTGAAGTGTAATTATCGTATTTTAATAGCAGGTTCCTCACCTAGCTCCAGTAGCAGCTCCTCTGTTAATCCAATGGCTTCTCTTGGAGCATTGCAGACGCTGGCAGGGGCTACAGCAGGCCTCAACGTTAGCTCTTTAGCAGGTAAGCTATGTGTTGTGGTAGGCTGGGGGAATAGCTGATTATTGTTCCTCAAGCTATGTGAGTTCTGTGGGTTTTTTTTTTCCTGCTCCCTGCTTTTCATAATAGTGCAGAGTATTTGAAAGGTAATTGATCTGCCTCAATGGAAGTACTCAGTCATCTTTATTTCCTCTTTCTTATACAGGGATGGCAGCCTTAAATGGAGGCCTTGGCAGTGGTGGTCTCTCAAATGGGACAGGTAGCACAATGGAAGCTCTCACACAGGCTTATTCTGGAATCCAGCAATATGCTGCTGCTGCATTGCCCACACTCTATAACCAGAGTCTCTTAACACAGCAGAGTATTGGTGCAGCAGGAAGTCAAAAAGAAGGTAAGCAGAAAGTTGTAGAAACAGCTTGAGTGGGGTTTTCAGAAGTGCAAGCTCAGCCCTTGCAGCTACCTTACCTGCAGAGCTTTTATTTAGCGGCATTTTTTAGAATCCTAGAGTTACTGAAGATAAAGAAGGAAAACCTGTGAGGTCTCTCTGCTAAGGGCTGTTCAAAGCACTTTTTATATGGGAGGTGTCTCCCAGGATTTGTCTAGCCTTAAATGCTTAGTAATAGTACTTCATTTTCTCGCAGGACAGGAGAGTATGAGTCTGCAGCTTGATACATCATTCCACTGTCAGAGAATCACTTGTGGTTTTGTTAATTTTGTTGTCTTAGTCCATCTTTTTCCATAGATACTTAATGCCAATCTCTTCACTCTTCAGATTCAGAATCAATTTAATATGTAGTGTAAAGTAACGAAGAATGTAGGAGTAAGTTTTCAGCAGAATGTAGGATGATATTTGGAAAAGAAAGTCAGGTTATAAGTAATGTGATTACTTGTATTTTGTATTGAGATTTACTTAGTTTCTTTGGGCCACAAGCTTTGCATAGCCGTTTTTGTTTTAGTGAGCATCTGGGGCTCAAACTTACTGTTCAACTTTCTTTACAAGAAAGATCTGTGAACTGGTTTTGGCACAGTGTGGAAATTACAAGCAAAAATGGTGAGAAAGAGGTAGAATTATTTGAACGATCAATCCCAGCAAAAGGTCATGCTGATTTATTCTGGAATAGAGTACTCTGCAGAAGTGTGAACAGCAGTTCCATTGTTTTATCTAGAAAATTTGGCTTGAATGGCTCTTTCACCTTTTTTTTTTTGTGAAGTGGGCCTATGTTATCCATGCTCTTTCTGAATTTATATTCCTACTTGTTGTTTGAAGGTCCAGAGGGAGCCAATCTGTTTATCTACCATCTCCCCCAGGAGTTTGGGGATCAGGATCTGCTGCAGATGTTCATGCCATTTGGAAATGTCGTCTCTGCCAAGGTTTTCATTGACAAGCAGACCAATCTAAGCAAGTGTTTTGGTACGTTGGGTCTAATCATTACCTGTAGAAAGGTGGCTTCTTTCTAGTAATCTCTTTTCCAGTATATTGTCTGGTCTAGCTTTTAAGTCAAGTAGTGACTCTCTCTCTATATTCCTAAAAAATAAGTAGATCAATCTGAACTCTTCCAGCAATGAACTGTATTTTCCTGATTTTCGTTGTAACTTTTTGCTTTTCCTGATTTTTGTGCTATTCCACCTCATTATACCGTTTTGGACTTAGATGATTCGCTGATTCAGGTTTGCAGACTAATCATGATATAGTTCCTCCTCTTCCCCCTTTCTGTCTTTTCACTAATTGTTTACGTTGCTGTATATGCTACTTACTACATTATCATTATGAATTATTTATATTAACATTTTTATATGTGGTTATTATGGCTACCATATTGTACAGGAGCATTTGAGACTGATGTTCTATAAATGCTCTGAAGGCAATTTGTAAAGCTTCCTTCTAATTCTTGAAAACTTTGTAATGATAATACCATTACAGCTGCTATTTACTACCTAACTTTGGTTGCATCTCTTATCCTAACTTTGCTCTGCTGATTGTGTATTTAGATGGGAGGCACATCAGGGTTGAAAGTGTATACTAAAACTGTAAATCAACCTGTCATGTAACTGTTACTATACAAATAGACAACTTGCAGTTGACTGCTAAAGTCTGTGATGCCAAAAGAGCAAAGAACATATTCTTCCTTAGCTTGTGTGCATGTGGACTGAAATATTCATGGTTTTATTTTCCTCACTTTGAAACCCCAGTGCAAGCAGTTAGAGCATTTTTGTAGGGCTGTAAGCTCTTATGACTGTTTTGATAGATGGAGAATTCTTGTGATGGAATAGGAGAGGTGAGCCTTTCACTGTGGTTTTGATAGCTTTGTACCTACATAATGCCCTGTATTTTTTTAGTATTTGAGCCAAAAGATGTGGACTATCTGTTGCTTTGTGGGAACACAAAAATACGCTGAGCATCAGGCTGAAACACCTGCACGTGGAATGATCTCCCCAGGTAGTGATGCCAGATATTGACTGGAGTTGTTTAAAATGGGTTCCTTCAAAACCCTGGAGAAGTTTATTTTGAAGATGCTCTTTC